TAAATGTCCTGAAGAAGTTTGTCCGAAAGAGAGCAAAAGAAATAAAAGCAGCAAATTCCTGAAGACCCGTGAAAAGTGCCTTGCCCACAGGACTCCTGCCTGTAAAAAAAGCTCAACAGCAGAAAAAACACAAATGCCAGCAGCAACAGCGGCAGCAGCAGCAGCAGCGGCAGCAGCAGCAGCAGCAGCGGCAGCAGCACCGCTTTCAATTCAGCGAGTTGTTGCCTCTCCATGTCTATAGAGCTCCTCTGTGCCCATCTAGCATCGCCTCTGGAACAGCCAGTGGCTAGCTGGCCGCTGCAGCAGCTGTCTGGCTAGCTAGCTACACAGCTAGCTGCGGCGAGCTAGCCAAGCAGCTGGCTAGCTGGCTTTGGCAGCGGCTTTTGCAGTGCAGCAGGACCACTACTCACTACCACAGGAGACACTTTAGCTAGGTAGCCAGCGCATTGTCTAGCTAGCCAGCGCACTGGCTAGCTAGCCAGCGCAGTGGCTAGCCAGCCGGTGCGCTGGCCAGCTAGCCAATGCACTGGCTTGCTAGCTGGTCACCAGCGAGCTAGCTACTGCGTTGCCGATCTCCCTGGCTAGTTATTCGGCTAGCTAGAAGGATAGCTGGCTAGCTAGCTGCGCAGCCAGCTATTTACTAGTTAGCTGCGTGGCTAGCTAGCTGAGCAGCTGGCTAGCTAGCTAGCTAGCTAGCTGGCTAGCTGGGCCGCTCACCTCCCCCGCCGAAAACCCCGTTGAAGTCCTCGTGCTGCGCCAAAGCGCAGGCAATGTGTTTGTGCACAAGTGCTGCTGCTGTCTCCCCGCTGCTGCTGCTGCTGTTCAAAGGAATGCCTCTGTAAGCGCCCCCAGGCGGCAGCCGACGGAAGAGCTCCTCGAGTCGCCCCACCAGCACCGCCTGCACCCAGCAGCAGCAGCAGCAGCAGCAGCAGCAGCAGCAGCAGCAGCAGCAGCAGCGGAACACATGGATGCCGAAAAAGAAACAACCCACGCTGCGCACAACTGCCGCAGCAACTGCTGCTCAGGCAAAACTAGGTGAACCATCAGCTGCTGCGCTGCAGCGGATAACAGCGTTGAAAGCAGCAACTCGCAGCAAGTGTTGCAGTAGCAGCAAAATTAGCAGCGGCAGCAAAAGTAGCAGCAGCAGCAGCAGCAGCAGCAGCAACAGCAAACGCAACACGCCACCTTTTCAAATTCGGAGTCTGCATTCGGGTAAGGAGGGCAATTGGCCTCGGGGAAAAGCGCGTCCTCCTCTTCTGCAACTGCTGCTGCTGCTGCTGCTGCTGCCGCTGCTGCTGCTCTCTCAGACAGCTGCACAGCTGCCAGAGATCCTTCTGGACTCCCCGCTGCAGCAGCAGATGCAGCAACTGTTATCCCTACAGCAGCTGCTGCTGCAGTAGCATGCACTAGGAACTTCATGTCTACAACAACAGGCTGCTTCTACTGCGGTAGCTGCTGCTGGTGCTTCTGCTGCAATTGCTGCAGCATTCAGATTTGCTGCTGCTGCAGCCTCCTCTGAGCCCCTCCACGTCTTCCAAGACGTCGGTTCTGCTGGCCGTTACTGCTGCTGCTTTTGCTGCTGCTGCAGTTGCTGCTGCTGCTTGTGCTGCTGCTGTTGCGGCTGCTGTCTTACTGTAGGGTCACCTGCTGCTGAGGAAACACGATTAGGGGGTTGAAAGAACCTCTGGGATCCTCCTCGGGTGTATAAGCGAAGATGGTGATGCTGCTGGGGCAGTAATGCGTGCTGTTGCTGCTGCAGCTACTCCAACTGTAGCTGCTGCTGCTGCTCGTGCTGCTGCTGTTGCTGCTGCTGCTGCTGCGCAGTCAGGAGTTAAGGGGAATCTTCGGCAGGAGACGTCCCTTGTACGGCGCCGAGCGGCACCAAGTGCATTTACGTTTTGAAATGATAACCGAAAGCAGCAAACTGCTGCTGCTGCGCGTGAGGCTTCGCTGCTGCTGCGCTGCTGCCGCCGCTGCAAGTCGATGATGGGCAGCGAGAGCTGCTAGCGCCGAGAAGTCAGCAACATTCAGTGCCTCTGGTCTTGAAACAAGTTTTTACTTGAAATGAAGTTATTTATGAAGTAGAAAACCCTTAATTTGTTTCTCTCACCTTCACTCTTCGCTCCCACGCCCTGTCGGCCTCAGGGAGCCGCCGGGAGGAGCGAAGGCACATGACCCCTCGATGGAGTTGCCCTTTTATCTTTTTGCTTCTTTAAAAGTCAAATTCAACAAAACTATCTGAAATAAATAGCTAGAAACAGGAAAGAAATGATCAGATCAGCCGCAGACGCCGCCGGTTGACTCTGCACCGCCGGGCGCTCGACACGGGCTTAGCGCCAGCTCCCCCTACTCTTATTTCAGATTATAAAACCACTAAAGTCCTACTTCAGGGCTTTTGAGGGCTTTTTATATGTCCAGCTAGCCCAAGTTAGTGGCACAAGCAGCCACAAAGTGCACATGTTCGTCAGGAGGCTGCAGGGGACCAGCGGTCACGGGCAGCTGCTGCTGCTGCTGCGGCGCAACACAGAAGCTCCTTTAGCCTTTAAAGAGCAGCACTGAGGTTCGCAGGCCTGTGTAGGGCCCTCATGGGGCTCCTGCTGAGGAGAGGGCCCCGGGGGGGGCCCCTTGGGACTGCCATAAGCCTGAGCCGAGGAAATGAGGCCCTTGGGGGCCCCTGCAGACTGTTTAGGGGGCTCCAAGGAGGCCCATATTAACTTAAGGGGCCCTTAATACCGTAGGCAGCCTACAGGGGCCCCCAGGGGCGCTTGGGGGGCCCCCGGGGGCCCCCCAGGGAAGCATGACTTGAAGCGATAAGCAGAAAGTGTTCAGAGGCGCTGCTAATAAAAAGACCAAAAATGAGGAAATGCTGCTGCTGCTGCTGCTGCTGCTGAGAGGGAAGCAGCAAAGGGCTATGGGGCATCTGATTAGCTGTGGTGGTTATGTGGCGCTCCTTTTGATTTGCTTCTTTGACTTTTCGTTGCTTCTCTTTTTATTCTTTTTTACTTCTCTTTGAGGCTCACTATTATTAATAGTGTTCTTATTTGTGGCTTTTTTGTCCCTTTTTGCTTCTTTCTTCTCTTGCATGCAGCTTTAGAAGTCCTCAATGCTCTTGCTGCTTGGGCTAGCCAAAGCTAGCTAGCTTCGACTCGCATTGGCTAGCTGCAGCTAGCTGTGGCTAGCTGTAGCTACCCGCAGTTAGGTGTGGCTGGCTGCCGTTAGATGCGGCTAGCTGTAGCTACCCGCGGCTAGCTGTAACCAGCTACAGCTAGCTACAGCTCGCAGCAGCCAGCTGCCGCTAGCTGTAGCTAGCTGTAGCTAGCTGGGCTGGAGAGCAGCCCCCAGCCGCGCTCAGCCGTGGCTAGCCGCCAGCTAGCCAATGTCGTTGCGCTCAGAAGCCCTGACGCATCTTCCACGGAATTCTTGCTGGTTCTGCTGCTGCTAATGCCGTCGCTGCTGCTGCTGCAGCATCTGCCGCTGCTGCTGCTGCAGCATCTGCCGCTGCTGCTGCTGCTGCTCTTTTGCATTCTCCAGAGCTATCTCATCTCAACTGCAGTGACAAGGGGTGCTGGCGGCACAGCAAGCAGCAGCAGCTGCAGCAGCAGCTGCAGCAGCTGCTGCAGCAGTCAGTAGCAGCAACGGCAGCAACAGGTCTGTATATTGGCAGCAGCAGAGTGAAATAGCAGCAGCAGCAGCAGCAGCGGCAGCAGCCGTTTTGGCTTCTACCGCCAATGAATTAAAGACAATATGCCTGCTGAGAGACTAGGAAAAATATCAAAGACAAGCAGCAGTAGCAGCAGCAGCTGCTGCTGCTGAAACCAGCAGCAACAGCACCAGCAGCAGCTACTGCTGAAAGCTAGGCTCTAGCTCCCAAACCAGCGCAAGCAGCAGCAGAAGCTGCTGCTGTTAACACCAGGCGATAGCAGCAGCAGCAGCAGCAACTGCTGCTGCAGCCTTAACGCTAGCCATGAGCCCTCCTGTGTACAGCAGCGCTCATCAGCCTCCCATCTGCAGCAGCTGCTGCTCATCGCGTGGACACTTTGCTGCTGAGCTGCGCCTAAACAGCTGCCTCTTCTATACATCGGGTGCTGCTGCAGCTGCGGCTGCTGCTGCAGCCTGTGCTGCAGCTGTTGCTGCAGGAGCTCCTGCAGCCACTGCTGCTGCTGCCACTGCGGCATATGCACCCGTTGCTGTAGTGCACATATCAGCGGCCTGAATGTATGCAGCAGCAGCAACACTAGCGATTTGGGCAGCGGGAGCAGCAGCAGCAACATCGGTAAGCGCAGCAACAGGAGCAGCAGGCTCTGAGATGGTAAGGAAAGGATATATATGCAACTCAACTTCCACAAAATTATTGGAATATGTGAGATAACACATTTTCAGTAACCTTTTGCACATAGAGTGCTGCTACAGCAAGCCGGCTCCTGCACGCTGCTGCAGCGGTGTAGATACGTTTCAGCAGCAGCAGCAGCAACAGCAGCAGCAGCAACACAGTTAAAATTTAGCGTGTTCTGGTATTATGCCTCAATTGTTTTCACTCATTCGGCGCAATCCCGAACAGACAGACTAGGAGGAAACTACCTGCTCCCTGCAGCCGATCCTGCAGCAGCCGCAGCAGCAGCAGCTGCAGCGGCAGCAGCGGCAGCAGCCAACTTTTACTTACACTGGCCGAGTAACGGCAAGATTGATCTTCGTATAGGCTTCGCAGCAGCTGAAAAAGTAACTGCAGCAGCAGCAGCAGTTGCCTTTAGACATTTCGGGGGCCGCTCGTCAGGGCCTGTCTTCGAGGGCAGCAGCCAGACCCGTCCGGTGTACGTACACTTGAAACTGCAGCAGCAGCCCCAGCAGCAGCGGCAGCGACAGCTCCAGCAGCAGCCGCAACCGCAGCAGCAGCCGCAACTACAGCAGCAGCCGCAACTGCAACAGCAAGCTTCGCTGCAGCAGCAGCAGCAACTGCAGCAGCAGCGGCAACTGCAGCAGCCTCCGCAGCTGCAGCCGGCAGCATGGACCCCCCTTCCCTGCAGCTGGCCTTTCTAGGCCACGCCCACCGCGCTGCTGTGCGCTGCTGCTGCGTGCTGCCTGGCGGTTTGCTGCTGACGGGTTCCTTGGACTCCACTGTGGTTGTGTGGCAGGAGCAGGAGGCGCAAGAGCAGCAGCAGCAGCAGCAGCAGCAGCAGCAGCCGAGTGCTTCCTCCCCGCCCAGCAGCAGCAGCAGCAGCAGCTGCGTGGGGTGTATGTACACCCCACACAAAACCCTGCAGCACCACAATGACTTCGTGCTTTGTCTTTCTCCTTCACTTTCTCTTTCTCTTCAGTTTTACTCGGGCAGCAAAGACCAAACCCTTTGCAGGGTTCACGCCCAAACGGGAGTGGTGGAGATGAAGTACCGCGTAAACCCTAAACCCTAAACCCTAAACCCTAAGCGCTGCTGCAGCAGCCGCTGCAGCAGCGCCGCCAGGCCGCCCAGGAAGCAGCACGTACTTCCGCTAGCCACTTCCACGTCCAGGAAAGGTGCAGAGGGTTTAGGCTTCAGGAATTAGAATTTAGGGCCGAGGGTTTAGGGTTTAGGGTTTAGGGTTTAGGGTTTAGGGTTTAGGGTTTGAGTTGCTGCAGGGCCACAAAAGCCCCGTGTGCTCGGTAGCAGAACATAAGGAACTGGTGGCTTCTGGAGATTGGGCGGGAGAGGCGAGGGTTTGGAACAGAGACGAGGGTTTGCTGCTGCACGTGCTGACGCAGCACCATTCCTTTGCAGGTCCAAACCCTAAACCCTAAACCCTAAACCCTAAACCCTAAGCTGTATGCCCCGGGCCCTCCACCTTAGACTGGGCCGCTGCAAGGTGGCGCATCCTAAACCCTAGAGGGCCCTATGCCTAGCGCGCCAAACCCTCAGTTGTGCCCCTTAAGCCTCAAACCCTAAACCCTAAACCCTAAACCCTAGCCCAGAGAGCTTTCATTGCAGTCGACTACACTAGCCTTGAGGTGGTTCGGTATTCAGCATTATAGGCTGAAGCTTTGAGTTTTAGCGTTTAGGGTTTAGGGTTTAGGGTTTAAGACTAAAGATTTGGTGCATGGCCCTGAGCTTTTAGGGTTTAGGTTTTGGGGTTTAGAGTCCAGGGCTGAAGGCTTCGGGCTTGGGGCTTCGAGTCTCGAATTTAGGGTGAAAGACTCATGTTTTAGGGTTTAGGGTTTAGGGTTTAGGGTTTAGGGTTTAGGTTGTGGGGCTGGTTCTTGCTGCAGTGTGCGTGTGCTGGGTGGGAGCCTCGCTGGTGACTGGGTCTCAGTCGCGTTATCTTTGCGTTTGGAATGAAGAGGGAAAGGCAACTCTTTCAGTTGAAGGTGCGTTGAGGGTTTAGGGTTTAGGGTTTAGGGTTTAGGGTTTAGGGTTTGGGGTTAAGGGTTTAGGGTTTAGGGTTTAGGGTTTGCGCAGCGCCTTTTGGTTTTCTTTGCAAGTCTCTTGTTCTTTGCAGGCGCCCATGAAGACATCATCCGCTGCGTCGCCGCGCTGCCGCCCTCCAGCAGCAGCAGCAGCAGCAGCAGCAGCAGCAGCAGCAGCAGCAGCAGCAGCAGCAGCAGCAGCAGCAGAGCAGCAGCAGCAGCAGCAGCAGCAGCAGCAGCAGCAGCAGCAGCAGCAGCAGCAGCAGCAGCAGCAGCAGAGCCAGGCTGGTGAGCGTGTCGAACGACCGCCGCATCAAGCTGTGGACAACAGAGCTGAAGTGTCTTTTAGATAAAGAAGACGCCCATGAGGCTTTTATTTTCAGTGAGATTTATTTTCCTTTTTTGTCTTTTTGAAAAGATTTATTCTTTCTTTTCGATTCTTGGAAAAGGCTATTGTCCCTTTTACCTCTTTGAAAAGATTTGTTATCCTTTTTCGACTCCTTGCCTCCATTTCTTTTGTTGCCGCGCCTCAATGCTGCTGCTGCTGCTGCTGCTGCTGCTGCTGCTGCTGCTGCTGCTGCTGCAGGCTGCTGCGTGTCTGGCACTCGTCCCGGGTGTATATACACCGCAGGCGACGACGGCCTTTGCTGCCTTTGGCAAATTTCCGATGCAGCGAATCCCTCGATTTCTTTGCTGCAGAAGCTGCAGCATCCCGCAACTGTCTGGCAGGTCTGCTGCCGCTGCTGCTGCTGCTGCTGCTGCCGCTGCTGCTGCTGCCGCTGCTGCTGCTGCTGCTGTTTTGCCACGTTGACAGGCGCTCGCTGAGTTGCTTCGCCGTTGGTCTGTTGTGATTATTGCTGCTGCACATGCTGCAGCAGCAGATGCTACCACCTTGTGCCCGTCTTTTCCCATGCTTTCGCTGCTGTTGCTGCTGCTGCTGCTGCTGCTGCAGGCTGTGGAGCTGCCCAAAGGCGATGTAGCCACGGCCTGCGAAGACGGGCGGCTGCGGTAGGCCTTTCTCTCTTTGTGTCCTTTCGAATTGTTTCTGTATTTTGCTGCTCTCCATCATATTTGTATTTAGCTGCTTATGAGGGGCCCTTTCACCTGATACTTGTCTTTCTTAGCTGCGCCTTCCGTTTGTCTCACCGCCGCCGCTGCGGCTGCTGCTACTGCTGCTGCTGCTGCTGCTGCTGCTGCTGCTGCTTGTCAGGATATGGACAGCAGACAAGGAACGGGCGCTGCCTGCCGATGTCGTCGCCGCAGCGAATGCGGCGGCTAGAGATGTGAGTGCCTGCACGCTTTTTTTCAGCAGCAGAAGCAGCAGCAGCAACAGAAACAGCAGCAACAGAAACAGCAGCAAACGAGCAGCTCGCGGCAGCTTATGGTGCAGCACCAGCAGTTCCAGAGCTGAGCATTGCTGCGATCCTTCCTTTGAATTCAAGCAGGCAGCCCCGACTGCAGTAGAAGCAGCGACACAGCAGCAGTAGCAGGAGCAACAGCTGCAGCAGCAGCAGCAGCAGCATATCTTTGTGATGCAGGTTGCTTCATCTGAAGCAGAAGAAAAGGGAGAAGCTTTGGATTTGAATAAGCTGCCAACTGAGGCGGAGCTTAGGGTGTGCATACACTGCAACTTATGGGCTGTGTCTCCGGGTTTTTTATCTTTCTTAAAACACTTTTATTTCCTTTTCTCGACCTTTTTGTCAGAAAAGTGTTGCTTCTTTTGCTGCTGCGTTAGCTGTTTCCTGCTTCATCTCCTTTGTCTTTTTATCTTGAACATTCTGCTGCTGCTCCCTTGTAGCCGAGTCTTCGTGTGGCCTTATGCTGGTGGCTGTGCCTTTGTCTCTTTTTCTTTTATGAAGTAGTAAAAATAAAGAAGAGTCTTTAGGCGGTAGCAGCAGCAGCAGCAGCAGCAGCAGCAGCAGGGCGCGTAGCGAGCTGCCTGGTTTGCGCTGCATGCAGAAGCGTCAAGGCACCAAAGACGGCGAACTAGTGGTACGTCTAGAGCAGCAGCAGCAGCAACACCAGCAGCAGCAGCAACAGCAATAGCAGCAACAGCAGCAACAGCAGCAGCAGCAGCAGAGGCAGCACTGTGTTCGCTCAGGTCTGTAGGAGGGGCGACGAGGCTGTGGTGCTGAGCTGGCAGCAGCAGCAGCAGCAATGGGACTTTGTGGGGCACGCACTGAACCCTCTCACCAACCGGATGGGGGCCCCTAAGGGGGGCCCCAAGACCTTCTTCCCCGGGGACCAAGTCAGCAGATTGCTGTTGCTGCTGCTGCTGCTGGTGCTGCTGCTGCTGAATCCGCTGCTACAGGTGTTCTTGCTGTTGCTGCTTGAGCTGCGTCTGCTTCTTGAAGCAGCGCTGTTGCACACAAGCAAACTGCCCTCCAGCAAGTAATTTCCCGCCGCCGCTGCTGCTGCTGCTGCTGCTGCTGCTGCTTCAGTTCTTTGATGAAGGTTCCTACGACTTCGTGTTCAATGTGGAACTTGGAGAAGACGGCGAGTACAAGAAGCTGCCCTTCAAGTGAGTGTTTTGCTGCTATTTTGCTGCTTGCTGCTTGTCGCTGCTTGGCTTGCGCGCCGCTGAAAGCGTCCCAGCTGGCTAGCTAGCCAGCTAGCTAGCTAGCCAGCTAACCAGCTACCTAGCCGTTGCCTGAAGGCAGCACAACGGCAGTAGCACCCACCATTTCTGGCCAGCTGCAGCAGTGTCTCCTTGTCTTTGCTTCCACGCACGACTGGATCAGGTAGCTTTCTATCTAGGTCTCTAGCTGCTCAGCAGCTAACCAGAGCTAGCGCTGGCTAGCTATGGTTAGCTGCGGCTAGCTGTAGCTAGCTGTGGCTAGCTGTGACCAGCTGTAACCGGCTGTAAGTAGCTGTAGCTATCTGGGGGTAGCTGTGGCTAGCTGTAGCTAGCGGCAGCTAGATAGGGGTAACTGGAGGCAGCTGTAGCTAGCTGTGGCTCGCTGTAGCTAGCTGAAGCTAGCTGTGGCTAGCCAGGGGGAGCGTGATGAGGCTTTGTGCGCATTCAGCCGTGGTGACAACCCCTTGGTTTCTGCTGAGAAGTTTGCTGCTCGCGAGGGGCTACACAAGTCTTATTTGTCTCAAATTGTTTCCTTTATAAATGCCAACAGTGGGGGCCCTGGGGGCTCCTCTGGAGCCCCAGCAGCAGCAGCTGCTGCTCCCCGGCCAAGCGCAGCAGCAGCAGCAGCCCCCAGCACCAGCAACGGCAGCAGCAGCAGCAGCAGGCAGCAGAAACATATTCCCGTTCTGCAGTGTGTCTCCTTTTCTAAAGCCAATGTAGAGGGGCTGAAGAAGGGTCTGCTGGAGGCCCAGCAGACACTCAAGCAGCAGGGGCATCAGGTCCGCTACTGCTGCTGCTGCTGCTGCTGTTGCTGCTGCGGACTGGTTCGCTTCTGCTGCTACTTGCCGCTGGGACCTTCTTTGGGGGTACCGCTGTTAGTGTCCTGCTGCTGCTGTTGCTGCTGCTATTGCTGCTGCTGCTGCAGGCGCGGCTGTCGGAGCTGGACGAGAGTTACCTTGCCGCTGCGCTCGAGAAGCTGCACAGCAGCAACTATTTGAAGGAGAACTTCAGGTGCTGCTGTGTTTTCTTATGGCATTGTGATTGCCCGTCTACTTTCTTATTTCCTTGTCTCTTTCCTGTTTGCAAAAGTTTTCCTTTTCTGCTTTATCTTTCTTCATGCTCCTGGCTGCTGAGTCCTTTTGCCTTTGTGGGGTTTTGCTTATTCTTGGCTTTTGTTGCTTCATTTTGCTTCTAAAGCAGATGTCTTCTTTTGGCTTCGCGGCGGATTGACAGTCTCCCTTGTTCTTTTGCTGCTGCTGCTGCCGCTGCTGCTGCCTGCAGGGCAAGCGAGATACACGTAATGATGCAGCAGCTAGCTCTCTTCCCCGCCAGTCTGCAGCTGCCAGTCTTCGACTTGTGGCGGCTGTTTTGTCTTCATCCTCAATATTCTCTATCTTTTAAAAACTCAACAAACAGCGGGTTAGTCCTGGCCCTTGGCCTTGGCCGTGCTGCAGCTGCTGCTACTGCTGCGCAGCTAGCAGCGGACGCCGCTGCAGCCGCCGCAGCACCAAGTCCTGGGAGCCGCTCCAGCTGTTCTTGCTGCTGTTGCAGCACTGGTGCTACTGCTGCTGCTACAGCTGCTGCCGTGCCGTTTCTGTCTAGTTGCTGCCTCTAGGCGTTCAGAGAACTCTTAGAGCCCGCGTGGCCACTGTGCATTTGCGCTGTTGCTGCTGCTGCTGCAGCTGGGACTTCGTTTCGCTGGCACTGCAGCGAGTCAAAGAGACGTGTGCTGCAGCAACAGAGCAACAGCAGCAGCAACATGGTGCAGGCTTAGTCCTTTGCTGCCTGCGCTACCTGGCGAATCTCTTGATGCTGCCAACAAACAGAGCAGTCATGCTGCAGCACGCGCAGCAGGTGTGCCGCGGCCTGTGAATGTGTGGTGTGTGCTGCTGCTGCCTTTTGTGTTACTTCTATATCATTTTACATCCTCTCTAGTGCCTTTTGCTGCCTTTATCTCCTCCCGCGTTCGTCTTTGTTTCTGTCTTATTTTTGCCTGTGCACCATTTTGCTGCTGCTGCCTTTTGCTGCTCGTGCTGCTCCTTCTGCTGTCTTCCGCTGGATTCTGCGCAGCTAGCTGAGCTAGCCGCTCAGCGCTGGCTACCCATACTGTAATTAGCTGTCCTAGCCTCTTGGCTTACGCCCAGCTAGCTGTTGTGCTGCGGCGTTCTTTCTTTGCTGCTGCTGCTGCTGCTTGTTCACTTCCTGCCACATTGCCGTCCCTTCTCTTTGCCTCTCCTCCTTCCTTGCAGCAGCAGCAGCAGCGGCAGGCATGCAGCGGCCCGCTGCTGCTGTTGCTGCTGGTTCTGCTGCTGCTGTTGGCTTCTCGCGCTTTTGCTGCCCGTGGCTGGCTCCGCAAATTGCGTGCTGCTGTGGGCTGCTAGCTGCTGCACTGTGTGTGGCTATTGGCTGCATTGTGTGTGGCTAGCTGGTGCACTGCGTGTGCCTAGTGCTGCACTGCTGCGTGGCTAGCCGCTGCACTGCCTGTGCCTAGCTGCTGATGTGCTGCGTGGCAAACTGCTGCGGTGCGTGTGGCTAGCTGCTGCAGTGTGTATGACTAGCTGCTGTGCCTCGTGCGGCTAGCTGCTGCAGTGCTGAGTCGTTAGCTGCTGCGCTGCATGTGGCTAGCTGCTAGGCTGCGCCTTTTTGCAATTTGTTGTTTTCTTTGCGGTTCAGGTCCTCGCTGCTGTCAAAGTTGCTGCTGCTTCTCTTTCTCTTTTCCACTCGCGGCCCTGCCGCCAGGCGCTTTGCTGCGTGCTTTTGAACTTTGCTGTTTCCTGCCACTGCTTGGGTTCTTCTTCGCTCTCTCAAGACCACAAGACCCAGGTTTGCTGCTGCTGCTGCTGCTGCTAAGGCGTGGGCTGCGCAGCTGCGGTTTCGTGATTGCCGGTGGTTCTGCTGCTGCTGCTGTTGTTACTACGAAAGTCGTTCTCGTACCCCGCATGCCATTGCTGCTCCTGTTGCGGGGTTCTTGCTGCTGCGGCTGTTGCAGCTGTGCCAGTTAATAATGGAGGTTATGCAAACGGAGACAGATCCGCCGCTTTTCTATCATCTTGTCGTAGCTGCTGGGACCCTCCTTAGCGACACTCAGACGCGGCAGCAGCTGCGGCCGCTGCTGCAGCAGCTGCAGCAGCTGCTGCCGCCACTCAACGAGCGCGTACACCCTGATGTCCCCCTCGGAGAGGCAGCGCAGGAGGTACTCAACCTCATTGGGTAGGGGCTGTAGCAGGTGCAGCAGCAGCAGCATATGCAGCGTCAACCCATGCAGCTGCAGCACCTGCAGCACATGCAGCCCCATTTGCTGCTAGCCACGGGCTGTTCGCGGTTCACAATAGCCTTCTGTTAGTCGGTGCTAGTCACCTCGCCTTCACTGGCTAAACAGTGCTGGCTGCAGAGCTAGCTGGGCAGCTAGCTAAGCAATTAGCTTAGCAGCAAGCATGGCCAAAAGAGACTGCGAAGCCTTAATTTTAAATTGGAGACGATGTGGGTGCCTCTGTAGGCCAGTGCATGTTGCTGCAGCCGCACAAGATGCAGCTGCAGCTGTGGGCAGCAGTAGCGAATAACACTACTGCTGCAGTGTGCATCAACTGCAGCAGAGCAGCCGCCGCTTTAGGGACAAAATGTGCGCCATGAACTCCATAAGTAGCTTCATGTTTTCTAGGGTAGAGTTAGCAGCCAGAACAGTGGTGCCTTTGCATGTGCAGTTTCGGGTGTATATACACCACAGTGGGCGTGGCTCTGCAAAGGCATTCTCTGGCGCAGATTAAGCACACCCATGCATTAGCGCTCAAAAGGGGTACTTATTTTGCTATTTACAAGCACATCAAGCAAGCCTCGGGCGTGTTTGAGGTGCTTGTGAACAACAAAACAAATATCCTCTTTGAGTTTGAGGCCCAAGCAGCAGCGCCCTTGCATGGTTAAGCAAGGGGCACGCTAAGGCTACGGATTGTATATTGATTCCTTGCTTTTGTTCAGGCGCGACATGCATGTGCATGCATGCGTGTATGCATGCATGTATAGCATGCATACATGCATGCATGCATGCATGCATGCATGCATGCAACGAGAGGGCAAACTGGTGTTTTCGCTGATCTCCGCAGCAATGTCTTCGTGAGGGCAGCAGCTGCGCCTGCCAGTGGCTTATAAAGTGGCACCAGCAGCAGCGCAAATAGTAATAATAATAAACGTTAAGGTCTCTTGTTTGTTGTTTGACTGTTTGGTCTGTTTACTTTTTGCTCGCTTGCCTAATTGTTAACATTCTCTGGCTGAGGTCTTGTGGCAGATGCTGCTGCGTCTGCTAGTGTGCTTCTGTTGCTCTTTTGCTGTTGCTGCTGCTGCTGCTGCTGCTAGTGGTTGGACCTGCGCCTGAGGCGCTTGTCCCCCGTGGCCTGCTGCTGGATGGAGCCGCGCCGGGGGATACCGCAGCCAACAGCAGCAGCAGAGCCTGCAGCAATGAAATCAATCAAGGGAGCAGCAGTTTCCTGGCTGGCTAGCCAGCTAGCCAGCTAGCCACCACCTACCGGCCAAATTCCTAGCTAGCCCATCAGAAGCCTTGTCAAACAATTGGCAGCACAGCGTGCTTACGGGGAGTCAGGACTTCGCCGTTTGCGATTTGTTGCCTCTTCTCCTGCTGGTACCTCCGCAGCAGAGCCTGAGTACATTGTACAGCCCCAAAACGACTTTAGGTGACTGCATGCATGAATGCATGCAACTTTTTCTGCTGCACACAAGCCCTGAAAAGAGCACGAGCACTTGTGTTTGGGGGCACGAGCCGCCAGCAGTCTCGAGCCAGTTGGATGGAAAAATTTTTTGTTCCAAATTAAAGTTCCCTACAATTATGGCACCCCCTTAATGGCCAGAGCATGCGAATTTGTTTGGGTTTTACCTTGAGAATGAGCATGGCTTCCACCTTTTTGATGCTGTTAATGCACAAGGTACCATCATCTTGCAGTATATGCCGGAGGGCGTCGAGCACCTCCAGCCTGGCTAGCCACTGGGCAAACCCAGGGGCCCCCGGGGGCCCCTGGGCCCCCTGGGGGCCCAGAGTTTGCCTCAGTTCTCCTTGCCCTGCCACAGCAGCAGCGCTAAAGGCTGCTTCCTCGTCCAGACCCATCCCAAAGAGAGACTGGTCGTCCATTTCGCTGCATGCATTATTACTGTCGCTGCCGCTGTTGTCCTTCGGAGACAGGGGGCCCCCAGGGGCCCCCAAAGAGGGCTGGCGGCTGCTGCTGAGGCTGTTGCTGCTGTTCAAAGACATGAGTCTCCGCCCACTTGAGCGGTCTGGGCCTAAGGTTAGCTCTGCGCCCGCTGGGCGGTCCCTAGACAAAAGGAATGGAGACAAAACGGAAAAGTAAAAGGTGACCCCGGAAACAGACACGAGACAAAGTTGGGGAAGAAGCAGAGGAATAACCAACAGGAAAAAAAATACAAAAGGGAGACCAATTAAAAAAGAAACAGAGACCTATTTGCGAGTTAGAGGGAGGAAACGAACACTTGTGCAAGAAGCTACAGCGACGCAAAAAAGCAAGCAACCAGACAAAATCGCAGAAGACAAGATTGAAAAATGCAGCAACGAGTTAACACGGGGTACAGCGCATGCATGCAGGAAGAAAAAAAGAAAAGTGCGAGACAGAGTGCATGCACTATCCGTGCAGGGAGGTAAAGAGAAAGAAGAGGCAAAGAGGCAGCAAATGCAGCTGACGCTTCCATTGCACTGTACATACACCCCACACGCGCAAAGAAGCATACATGCGCCCGAAAGGGTACTGCGCTGTAATGCTAAATCGCCAAGTGTTTACTGACTCTGCACTAGTGCATTTGAACGAAAGGAATAACGCAGAAGCACTTTTGCCCGCATGCAAGAAGACAGAAGGTTCCAACCATGCTCAGACTTAAGTGCAAAGAGGCAGGTTGAGGAGGAGAATCATGGACGCATGCAGAGAGGGCAATAAAGAATAAAACTCAGAAAAAATGAAACAAAATAGGGCAGAAAAGGAGCCAAAGGGGAGCCACAAACAGCAAAAAACAGCAAAGATAGTAATGGAAACCGAAGGAAACACACAAGAGCATTATAGAGATAGACTAAAGAATAAAACGCATTAGCGAAGCAAAACTGCGTGGACAAACGCCTTCGACAGAAGAGGACGAAAAGCAAGAAAAGGCCACTTAGTATGAGGCAGCAAATTGCTCAGAGGCAATAGAAGGTGAGGCAGTTTTTCTTTTCCTTTCATACTCGGGAGGCATTTCAGCTACTCGTTTTCGCAGCTCCATCATCAGCCGTCTAATTGCCACAAACAGGTCCGACACAGAAGCAGCAGCAGCAGCAGAAGAAGAATATGGAGCCACAGCAGCACCTACAGTGACAGCAGCAGCTGCAGCAACAGGCGCAGCTGCTGCTGCAGCAGACGCACCGGGACACCTTCCGCAGCAGGGCCAGAACAAATTGAAACAGCAATACATTAAATTAAAAAGTTATGTCTCAAGCTGAAGGGTTTAGAGTCTAGACTAAGGGCTTAGGTTTGGGGAACAGAGCATAGGGCTTAGAGTTCAGAAAGGAGCACCGCAGAGCAGCAATGGCATCTGTTGTTTCTTGATTTTGAGTCTTTTCTTCTTTTCGTTGGTTTGTCGCAGGTGGGGACAGGCCCCGGGCTGGGGTGGCAAGAAGCAGCAGCAACAGCAGCACCAGCAACAGCAGCAACAGAAGCAACAGCAGCATCAACAACAGCAGCAACAGCAGCAACAGTAGAAGCAGCAGCAGCAGTGGGTTTAAACCCAGCAACAACACTCGCACAGTTTCGAGACCATCTGCAAATCCAACAGAGGAGCTGCAGCAAAATAAGTCACCAGCAGGTTGCAGACCTCACAGCCAGCAGCAGTAAGAGAAGCAGCAGAAGCAGGACAGAATCACAAACAGAAGCACAGATGCAACCTGCTGCAGCAGCAGCTTCTGCAGCAGCAGCTTCTGCAGCAACAGCAGCAGCTGCAGCAGCAGCTGCAGCAGCCGCAGTAAGCCGTTAACTGGCGCTGACTTCGATAGGCGGGCTTGCGCTTAGCTGCTCTTCGGGCTGAAGGCGTGTGGTGCTCCCTGAGATCTCTCGTTTCTTCTGGACTCAGCAGCTGCACTTCCTTGAAAAAAAGGAAAGCACAAAGACTTTAAGTTTTGAGTCTTGGGCAGCTTCTGCAAAAGCCTGCAAAAGCCATTCTAAACTCGTGCAAAAGGCACCGAAAAATCGTCGGAAGAAGAAACAGCGGCAAGTAGCAGCAGCGGTAATGCTGTGGCAAGACCAGAACACTCGGCATGGCTGGCTGGAGCAGCAGTAGCAGCAGCAGCAGATTCATCGACTCAATGGCAGGCTGAAATTGAACCTGAAGGAATGTGATGTATTCTTAAAACAAGGTTTAGGGTTTACGTGCTGGATTTTAGGGTTTAGAGCTTACGTGCTGAACGCAACGATGCTTCCATTTGATCTGTTTGAGTTGAAACCCAAGCTCTCCGTCGGCTGCCTCCATGGCTCTCATTGCTGCTATTTTTTGTTTCCTTTCTTTCAGTGGATCTACCCAGTAGCTGCTGTCATCGCGCGGGTTCTGTTGCTGCTGTTGCTGCTGCTGTTGCTGCTGCTGTTGCTGCTGCTGCGATCGCTGCTGCTGCGCATGCTGCTGCTGCGACTGTTGCTGCTGTTGCTCCTGCTGCTGCTGCTGCTGCTGTTGCTGCTGAAGCTGTGGTTTTAGGGTCGGTTCGTCTGCAGGCAGAGTATCTAAGCTCTCCAAAGAGACACGAGAGCCAAACATCAAGAAGCTGAAGTCTTCACTCAGTCGTTTTCCCCCCAAGAATTCGTAGTGGTGCCGCTGCTGCTGGTCTTCCTGCTGCTGCTCAGCAGACAGAGTTGGTGTTGCAGGAGGTGTTGCTGTTAGTTCGGGATCATCTTCTGCAGGATCTGCAGCAATCGCGACATATTCTGAAAGTGTATCAGGCTCAAGTGGCTTTTTTGCTGCAACTGCCGCCAAATAAGTGGTTGTAGCTGCAGCAGCAGCTGCAAGACCAGTAGCCGCTATGGCTGGCCTTTAAAAGCATTATTTAGGCCTATTGCTTGTGGTTTTATGGCTTGATTCTGCACTAATTAATGGGGAAGTTAAAAAGCCTATTATGTTTTAGATCGAGTGCACTCTCACCCACTGCTGGCTTCTTCGATTGCTGTTGCTGCTGCTGTTTCTTCCTTTGCTGCCGTTCCTTCTGCTGCTGCTCTTGCTCTTGCTTATCCGCTTGCTGCTGCTTATTTTGAGCCTGCTGTTGCTTTTGCTTAGCCTCATGCGGCTGGTCCTCCTGCTTCTTGGCCTCCCCGTGCTGTTGCTGCTTACCTTCGTCCGCATGGGGCTGTTTCTTGGCCTCCTCCTGCTGTTTCTGCTGCATCTTTTTAGTCTTTTCCCGCTGTTGCTGCTTCTTCGCTTCTTGCTGCTGCTCCTGCGCTTTAGGTTCGTCCTGCTGCTGACGCTTCTCAGCATCTTCCTGCTGCTGCTGCGTCTTAGCCTCTTTCTGCTGGTGCTGTTGCTGCTGCTGCTGCTGCTGCTCTGGCTTCTGGTCCTTATGCCGGTGTCCATCTTCTGGCTCCTTCGTTTTTTTCTTATCTTTATTCTGTTTCTGCAGGCTTTCTTCCTGCTGTTCACTCTCCTGTTTTTGCGCCTTCTTCCCCTGCTTTTCTGCCTGCTGTTGCTGCTCTTGTTGCAACTCATCTGACTCTTTTTGCTGATATTCTTGCTGGTCAACTACACCTCCTTGCTGTTGTTGCAACTCCTGTAGTGAGGATTGGGTCTCAGGTTTCTGCTGCTGTTCTTGCTGTTGTTCCTGCTGCTGCTTCTGCTGCTCCTCCACTTGCTGCTGCTCACTCTGAACTTGCTCTTCTCCCTGCTTCTTTGGCTCATCGCTTTTGCTCGGATGCTGTTGCTGCTGCGGCGTGGGCTGCTGCTGGTTCTGTTGTTGCTGCTCTGACGGCCTCTCAGGAAACTGATCTTGCTGCTGCGGTCGCTCGTCCTGCTGCTCTCCTTGCTCCCCCTCTTGCTGCTGCTCTCTTCCTTGCACCTGTTCCTTTTCTCTCAGCTCTTGCTGCTGCTGCTGCTCTTCCTTTTCCCGAAGTGACGCCTCTGGCTGGTGCTGGATACTCTCTTTGTCAAGCAGGCTGTTCTCTTGCTGCTGCTGCTTTTCATGCACCTGTTCTTCTTTCTGCTCTCCGCTTTTCGGTTGCTGCCCATTCTTCTGGGTATCCTTCTGATCCTGGGGCTCTTCTTTTTGCTGTTCTTTTAGTGGTTGTTCGCCTGCATGCTGCTCAGCTTTTTGATGCTGTTCGCCTTGTTCCTCCTCATCTTGTTTTTTGTCTTGCTGCTGCTCATCCTGTCGTTTCTGCTCTACTTGTTGCTGTTCAGCTTCTTGTTGCTGCTGATCACCCAGTTGCAGCCGCTCATCCTGTTGCTTGTGCTCACCTAAATGCTGCTGATAATCCTGTTGCTGTATGCCAGCATTCTGCTCTTCCTGCTGCGGCGAAGCAGCCCCCTGCGATTGCCGTTCATTTTCGTCCCGCTCATTATGCTCACCGTCTGTGAGCTCCTGTTTTTGCTCTGTTTGCTGCAGCTCTGAGGTAGCCACGTCTTCTGGCTCCATCTTCAGCTACCGACGTTCTGCTTCCCCTATTCAGTAAATGCCGCAGCCGTTGTTGCTGCTGCTGCTGCCAGTTTTATCGCTTTTAAGAGTTGTAGGTATAATGCTGTTGCACGCTGTGCTTAAAAAACAGATATAGGTGGAGCAGCAGGGTACGGCTGCAAGGTGTCGAGTCCAAGGTGACCTCGTGACCCTGCTCGAGCCTGAAACCCTGAGCTTTAAACTCTTACCAGTAAGCCGCTAGGCGAAATTTGTGATTAAAACCTTTGCAAAATTAGATTTATTGCTGATTTTAAGTCCTTTGGATTATCTTGGTTTACTGTGAAAAGGAGCTTACAGCAGCAAGCCAGTGAAGGTCACTTCGGGGACAGAACGCGCTAAGTAGCTGCAGCTGCAACCGTTGCAGCAACAACAGCTGCCATAGCTGCACTCCCTGCAAAAAATTACTTTTGCTTATGAATTCCAGTGGTTTACACCTGAAAGGTCTCGTTCTACGGGCAAGACATGCCATGCCAGTACGAGCAGCAGCAAGAGCAGCAGTGGCTGCGGCCTTGGCTGCTGCTGATCAGAATGCAGCTCCTGCAGCAGCCCCGCACCCGACGCTCGACTTTTTGCCAATAATTCAGCAGAAAATGCTTCGGTAACTATTTCTGTATCTTAAGACGCAAACTGCAACGACACCGGAGGGAACAGCCGCAGCATTAGCTCATAAGTAGTCGCTCTTGCTAGTCGCGCTGCACCACTTGCGCGAGACTGTAGGATCTCCCCCGCGTCCCCAGTGAAATACCCGTGTATGGACACTGACCACTAATGTTATTGCTGCCACAAAGAGTGGACCTGACGGAGGCAGGGTCTTCAACCGCAAAAATGGTGCAGTATCGACTGTTTGTGCTTGTTCGTAGTCGTCTATAGGCGCAGACAGCTAGCTATTGCGCTGTCCAGTAAGGACAGCGGTGCTTATGTACCTTGCTTATTCAAATATCCCATTCAACATTTCATTCAAGAAAGTAGGGGCGAGGCCAAACTGCAGCGCGGTTGTAGTCAAAATAGCGGCGCAGCTTGCAACAACAATAAAAAAGATCAGCCGAGCATCAAGGTACATGATCTTCGGAAAGTTCGCAGACCTTTGAGGTCTAGCTGCAAAGAGAACGGGGGCACAGCCACTAGCAAGGACAGCAGCAGCGGAAACGGAAGCGCTGTCTGCAGGGGCGAAAACACAAACACAAATGAGTAACGACGACAAATAAGCCAGCAGCGAACAGCTACAAGACAAGCGTACAGCAACAGGTGCAGCGAAGTGGCGAAAGACAGATAGAGAACTTGGCATCTGTCTCAATTTCATAACAAATGGCTCTCCTCATCCGGGGGGCCCGCTTGGAGCAGTAGTACTGCACCCGCCCTTTGGGAGCACCAACCTGTTTTTCTTTTATTCATATGAATCAGATACACCATGTGCACAGAAAGCGTGTGACTAATCTCTACCTATCAAGCTAGCTGCTGTACGCACAACTGAGTACGCTCTCGGTGCAGTGTGCAGCTTCTTTCATCTGCCGCTTCAGCAGCCCCCACAAGCATCTCTTGCAGCTGTCGATGCCCCTGACTTTTTGTGCCCCAGAAGTAGAGACAGCAATGACAGCATCGGAAGGAGCAGAATCAGGCACTATATTAGTAGTTTTAGCAGCACTAGCCAAACCGGCAGCCTTCCAAGTGTCCGTATTATTATGTGGTTGCACACCAGCTAGCTAGCCGGCCAGCAACGAGCCAACTGCCTGATTAGTTGTTGGATATTCGTATAGACGGCGGCAATGTGACAATTATAACAGGAACGCAGGAAGAACAGGAGCTAGGCGATTGGAAAACTGGAAGGAGAAATAAAAGAGAAACGCTGTGCTCAGCCCCTCATATTTGCCCTGCACCAGTAATTGTTGCTGCAGCTTGACCAGCGTTGAAAAACGTTTGCTCTTCTTTAATTTACTTTGCTTCCTAGATATCAGCTAGTCTGGGAAGGGCAGTGCTACTAGTGCTATGTTTTTATTTGCTGTTTTGATCCTTTTTCCCTCCCCGTTTCAAAATCACATAGATGTAAGGGTGGCCTGGCTCTATGCACCACAACACGTTACACGAGCGAACTCGAACAGCCGTCTTCACATCTTCAGCTGCTCTGGGACTAAGGACTTAAAAACCTTAAGAGTGAGTGATCACAAGATATTTTAGCAAGACGTGAGTTCGCTTTAGCGACAGCGCAAAACTGCACAACACACCAAAGTATCTTCAGGACCCGCTTTCCTTTCTCGACACGCTCACGATCGACGATGTGCACAACGGCTGTCGGTGCCAACTTGCGGATCAGCATATATTTCGGAAAATGCCAGCAGAAACTAGAGTAGCATCTCATGCACGCTCTCTGCGATATGCACTCACCCCTGCCACCAACCGCTTGCAGGCTTCGCGAAACAAATGCAGAATCTCCGTTTTTCGTAACTCTTTTACGATAATAAAGCGTTGGGCTGCGACACGCCCTCGCCATGGCTCTTTCCACGTCGAATCGATTTTCTAATTCAAACGATGCCCATTGCTGCTAGCGATGTTTACAAGAGACGAGCTGACGAAATCTTCTACAGTTCCTTGAAACAGAGTCGACGACAACAGTCGAGCCGGAACCCTTACCGATAAGCAAGAGATCACCACAGTCAATGTTCTTGTCCAATGTGAATCGGTGATATGCCGCGCATGGATTATAGTTGCAATGCCATCTACTAACGTCCTTGTACAGTTTTTCCAGCGCCCAGTTTGTTTATTCTTTTTTGAGACTTTTTAAAGGGCGGCAGTACACGCCGTCTCGCCACCGCTTGTGCAGACCACAAACGTTATTGAAGAACGTAATTTGTATGAGCGTGAAACATCATCAGACCTTGCAATAAAATGCCAACACAAATGCCTGCTCTGCAATCGTGCAAAATCAATAGTGTGATGCAATTATCATTCATACCTCCTTGCCCATGATTTCTTGTCCTTTTGTTCTCTCCGGTACTATTGTCACGCGTTCACTGTCTCTGCAAGTGTAACCGCCCTCTTCACATAAATATGCAGCGGACCGTCGCTCATTGCTCATTACTGAGTCCTAGCTCCTGTGGTCTTCGATGCGAAGACAAGGTTCTCCACAGGCCTTCCACTGCGTGGTTTTAAGTAATACAAACATGGCCCTTGAGACCAAGCAAGTCGTAGATTCTGAGTAGTGGAGCCTCTCAGATACAGTGCATGTGCAGGAGGACAAAACGAAACGTTGTAGAACATGAGTGCAAAATCAATAGTGTGATGGCGCCAAGCCAAAGGCAATGCGACCAAAGAATGCAACCCCCTGAACAAGACACGGTGATGCCTTCCGCGTCTACTGGAGCATCTACTACAGCTGCAGGGGCAGCCGATGCTGATTGCATTGTGCTGTGTTCCCTCTGCCGGAAATGGTACTGGCCTTCGCTGGCTGCTTGGAGTGCATTTCGAAGTGTGAGCCAACAAGAAGCTGCAAATGGCCACTTTATGTTAAACTGGATTCTTCCTAAATAAAATTGACATTTTTCAAATGCAGAGCGCTGTAAGCCCCCGCAAAATCGTCAACCTCAGTTCTACACGCGGAACACCGTTCATGAATAACAAGTAAAACTGCGTCCTACCCACTTCGTGAACTCCGTTAGAAACTGTCTAGGCAGTACTGCGGCTGCGGCTCAAGGTGACTCACCTTTAGCTGACTTCAGCTAGCTATGGCTCATTATACCTAAACACAGCACGCTGTGGAAACCTGCAGCCAGCCACTCAGCGTGCTGAATATCGCTTTTGCACGCTTCTGAGTTGCCGCATCAGGCGTGGAATTCATGTGAACCGCAACAGCAGCAGTGATCTGCGACACCCCCTGAAGCAGCTCCAGCAGCACAGACTGCAGCTATTCTGTACCAGCAAGATCCTCCTTGAACGGCAGCAGTAGCAGCAGGAACGCAGGCATCTGCTGCAGATGGAGTAACAACAGTTTTGTAAGTAAAATTTCTCGGGAAGCGCTCGAGCACTGTGAGGCCCCCCGTGCAACTTCACATACAGGGGCCCCCCTTGGGGGGCCCCAGTTCCTCCATTAGGCAGTAGCTGCATGTCTTGACCTTGCAAAAAGAAAACAGCTGGAATGAGACTAAACTCCAGCAATAGCAGTGAAAGAGGGAAAGAAAAAGAGGGAAAGAATGCTAGGGAAGAGCAACCTAGGCTAGCTCGGCAACGAAGCAGACGTATGGGCTACTACTGCTGCTATTGCTTGCATGCGCCGCCACTGGATGGTTCCTGTAGTAGGTAGCATAATCACTTCCGCAATTCTTCTGCCTTTAATACACCGGGAAGGGCTTAAGTTGACTCGTATGATGCATCCTTCCTCGCCTCCTGTGCAGCGGCGTCACCGGAGACAGAAACAGCAGCAGGAACAACTGATGCAAAGCTGCGACGGGAAGCTCACAGGTTTCAGTCCCAAAAGGCGGAGGGCCAGTTTTAGCCGCAGCAGCGTGTGCGAGGAAAGTGATCTCACTGGCGAAGGGCTGCCTCAACAAGAACAGCAACACCAAGAACAGCAGCATTTCCGGCTCCCGGAAGATGAACAGCAAGAGACTCAGCAACGGCAACAACAGCAGCAGCGACCGCATGATAAGCAGGAGCTAGATCTTCAGAGAAGGCAGAAGAACTGGCAACAGGACCCCCCGAAACATAGCATGCGAAGCACTGAAGGGCGAGATGATTCTTCAGCCGCTGCTACTATGATATCAGATCCAGCCGGCCCCAACGATAGCAGCAACAGAACCAGCAGCGGCGAAAGCTGCAATGGTAGCAGCTGTAGCTGTAACGGCGAGAGAAGCTGCAGCAGCAGCTGCAGCAGCTGCAGTAGCCGGAACGTGCCCGAAGTGTGCGTGTGTTTCAAGGAGGGCTGAGGGCTTGCTGCTTCTGTTGCTAATGGCGTTGCTGGTGCGAATGCTGAGCGTGCTGCTGTTACTGCGGCTACGTTTCCCGTTTTGACTATGCTTGCAGGTGCATCAACTCTGTGGTGCTGCTAGCTATAGCGTCCCACGCAGCGCGCCTTCAAGTGTGGCAGGAGGAGCAACGGCAACAGCAGCAACATCAGCAGCAGAAAAGCAGTCAGCATGAGAAGGTCATTGGCCTTCTGCTTGGTAAGCTGCTCCGCCGCGTCCCACCTTTCTGTGTGCTGCAAGTATTGCTGTGGATTTCGATTCAATAGAAGTTACTTTATGGAAAGTAGCGTTATTAGCGCGTTGTTAGCGCAGCCAGGGCAGCAGCACCGCTGCAGCAGCTGCTGCTGCCGCAGTCGCCCCATGTTGTGGCCGCTGCGTAGCGCAGGCCCACGCAGGGATACAGCGAACTTCAAGGCCCTGTCTGTCACGGAGTCAGCAGAGCTGCCCCCGTCTTTGCTGCAGCGCGACAGCGAAAGCAGTGGCAGCAGCGCGATGATAGAAGAGGCGGTGTTACTGCGCCAGGCGTTGGACAGGACTCTGCTTCCCCTAGGACTCTATTTGGCTCAGAATGCATGCACGCAAGAGCAGCTTTCCCCAGAGCTTACCTCATTGCTAACTCAGGTGCCGCTCATGTTAAGATTGCTGCATATGGTAGCGCTGCTGCCGCCACTGCAGGCGGCCTTAGCGCCTTCGCTGAGGCGCCAGCCCGTTTGGACTAGACAGTTGTCTTAAACCTGTAAGGGATTCCAATGAGTGCGGCGACATAGGACTTTATTTTGGTGATTTAGCCCTGCCTGTCCTGGGTTGTTGTTTGGGCGTACAGACTGAGTGGGCTAGAGATGGCCCCTTACTTCTCTTTTTCAGGCCTTCGGCGCAGAGTTCCACAGGACTGCACAGGCCTCCTGCCCAGTGTTTTCGCTGCCTCTGCAGAAGCACGAGCAACAAGTGCAGTTGGAGTGACAGCAGCAGCAACATCATTTGCACCAAAAGTAGTGGGGAGCGAGAGCTGCAACTGACGCCCGTGCACTTGAGAGTCCAAACGGTGTGTGTTTTCTTGTCAGCTTCACTTGTCGCTGCTGTAGCTGTTGCTAATAGGCTGCTTCTACTGTAGATGGTGCTGTCGGTGCTTCTGCCGGCTTGGCTGGTGGTGCGTTTGCTATTGAGTCAAGACGTAAGCTGGATGCAGCTGAGGCTGCCGAGGGGTCAACAGGCAGTGCCAAAGGCGGAAAAGACGGGGAGAAACACAAAACAGAAATGCAGACAAGGAAGAAAAGAATTTGATATACATATAGGCCGATGCATGCGCTCAGTGTGGAGTGGAGAAGCAATAGATGAGGCGGCCACCAGAAGGGCAGAGTATATCTTTGCATATCTTTGCATTGTGCGTACTGTGTATTTTTTCATGTGTAGAGTCTAATGGCCAAGCTCGCTGCTGAGGCAGTGCTGAAGAAGACAGACAAAATTGGGGTGCTGATGGAGACGAAGAAGCACAGTGAGTGAAGCTTCCTCTCGCTGATATGTATGCTGTTCATGCGTACGCGATTTTGCGTCTGTTTTTACTATCTCTCCGGCTGAGTATTTTTCTCCTGGATAGTCTTGATACACGAGTATGTTTGCGTTTCAGTACATCCCTTGGGCAAATCTGGCTCTTTGTTTCTCCCTGTTCCGTTATCTTACTTCACATCGCGACGTCTAAGTGCCTTGCTGTTTCTCTTTTGACTGTCGCAGCGACAGAAACTGCAGCAGCAGCAGCACCTGTTAGACTGCAGCAGCAAATAGATGCCTTTGAGTGTTGCCGGCGTAGCGTCGAGCATCTGATCCAGTATCTCGAAGATGTCAAGTCAGGTACTCGTTTGTGCATATGTGCACTCCGTGGTGCATGCATTGGGACAGCCAGAGGAGTTTTTGAGGACCAGCATATCTCGATTTATCCACTAAAGGAGCAATTATATGGATACATAGTCATGAGATGGCGCGTTCTCCGAGCTTTCTACTGCATGCCTGTGAACACCGTTGGCAGGGCTTGCCTGTTGAGGAGGTACCCAGCCATTGGAATTGATGCACCTGCTCGCTTCGTGCAGCCCCATTTGCAGCAGAAACGGCACTGTAAACTGCTGTGGAAGAGGCTTTAGTAGGATATATTGCTGCTCTTGGCTGACTTCGCGTGCCTGTTCAGGTGCATGCAAGCCGCACCCTGCTTTGATGCGCGAGGCGTTGGGTGTGTGCAAGAGGCTCTGCAGACCAGAGGCGCCTGCAGCAGTGGTAGCAGATGACACAGCAGCCGCAGCTGCCGCCGCGATCGCTTCTGCTGCTGCTGATGATAAATATTTTGCAGCGCTTGAAGTACCAGGCGGTGCGAACAGCCGTCTCCGTAGCAGCAGCCGCATCATGTCCAGTGTTAGGACCGTGCGCGCGCTACAGGACTTGCTGCAACAGTTGCTGCCTTTAAGCACGTGGAGCCCATTAAGGCAGCAGGAACAGTTTGACCAGGGGCAGCAGCCAGCGCAAAGGAAGCAGCAGTTGCCTTCGTCTCAACAGCAGCAGGCGCAGCAGTTGCAGCAGCAGCGGGGAGTTGCGCGTTTCGATTTGAATTGCCTTGGTGCTTTGAAGCAGAAAGAGACTGAAATCGCAGCAATGGCTGTGCTTGGCAAAGCCACAATGGGAATCGCTGCAGCGCATGCTGCCGCTGCTGAGGTAGGCCTGAGGGTGCCAATCTGCAGTGTGGTGTGATGCTTCCCATGCATGTGTTTCCCGTGCTTGACGGCCGTTCTTCGCCGCAGCAGTGGTTGCTTTGCGGGAACGCGCATTTGCTTTTGCTTCACGGGGAGCAAATGCGGTAGATGAAATGCTGCTAGGGTTATGCTTGCTGGTGTGGCTGCTTTGCGGATGCAGCGAAGTGATGCTGCGAAAGCCTTAAAGGCAGTGCAACAGCTTTTGGATGCAGGCGCTGATATCTAGAGTGTCATCAGACTAGCTACCGTGCACTACCTTGCTGAAGCGCAGCAGCAGTTGCAGCGACAAGGGGTGGTGCTACTGTTGTTGCTCTTTGTCTGTCCAGCAAAGGTTTCCTAGTTCCAAGAACGAACCACTTGGGCCTTTGTACTGCTGCGGTGTCTACCGTTGATGTAAATTTGTGGTCTCGCAGTTCCGGTGATCTCGCTGCTGCCGCATTCGCTGCTATTTTTCATGATTTGTCTAGGAGGTGGCTGATGCCCTTGCTGTTTCGCATTCGACACTGCAACAATTTCTGCTGTTGCTTAGTTTTGACTGCGCATTTTCCTACCATACGATGCAGAAAATATCTGCAGCCGTCACTGCGGGTGAGTCCGACGTTGCTTTCTACTGAAAGTGTTGCTGCAGTTAATGAACGCGACGGCTGCACACTGGCTACGCACAGAGCGTCGAATTCACGTCTGCCAACAAGGGGTATTCTGCGTTTAAGCATATTCCTTTCCGGTACAAGCGCGTCTCCGAAAGGTCTGGAAAGTACTAGAGGTGTTTTATGCTGCGGAGATTGCGAGCACGCACTACTTTTTCAATCAGGAAAGAATGCAACTTTAGCAGCTCATGCTGCTACAGCCCATGCAGCAAGAACCGCAGCAACTGCGAAAAATACAGGAGGGAATAGCTAGGGCAGGATAGGCCATTATAGGCGCTGAGTTCAGGGGACAGTTTCAAAGATAGTGCAGTGTTGTAGGTCTTCCATGAAGCCATTAATGCGTGGCTCACTGGAGCAAAGAACCTGCTGGGAATGCCCAGGGTTTTGCTCAGAGCGGGGACGAAGCCTCTTGATGGCTGGGCGCCATGTGCATAGCACTAGTGCAGGAGTGATGATTTGCTTTCGATATTGGAGGACTACCTGAGAATAGTTTGTCTGATGTGTGCGTGCCTGTCTGGAAACTCGCCGTGTTCGACCTTGTGAGTCAGGGTTGCCTGTTAAAACAGCAGGATTGGCGTGTGTCGCAGCTCGAGAGCAGTTGCGTTCGCACCAGCAGTAGGCATGTACTAATGTATAGCAGTCTGGACGCTGTTGTCAGCGTCAAACACGCCTTTTGAAGCACTAGAGCGTCAAAAGCACTGGCTGACCAGCGGTCCCATGGTGCTCTGGTGGAGAAGCGAGTGATCTTTCTCTCAACTTCAATCCTTTGGACTATTTAGGGGCATTTTCCCAGTTGCCCAAAAATACGAACGCTTCTAAGAGGAAGACGCGGATTCAAATCCGTCTTCTAGAACCTGCATATGTGTGGACGCCATCCTGGACGGCTGGACTGGGGCACCAGTAGTGTCTTCATGGTAGAGCAAACCAAAACTTTTTTCGGCGCATTCCAGCTCCTTGAGCTCCTGAGTCCCCTTGGTCGTCTGTGTCTGAGAGGGCCTGCAGCGTTTGCATGTAGCAAATAAGCGGAGACAGACACACACACGAGTTGCTGCTGCTGCAGAGCGGGTTCTGTCCTGCTGCTGCTGCTGCCGCTGCTGCGCTAGTCTCTGCTGCGTCTTATTGTCCCCGGTTTCTGCCTATGCTGGTCCTCTTTGGCATGCTCGCGCTAGCTTGACCGAGGCCGGCATACCGCATGACGCCGCCCGCTGCCCACGCCTGGATTTCCGCAAGACGGCAGCGCCGCATAGTTGGCTTTGCGCTATCTCCGACGGGGTGGGGAGGAACAGCAGTGCAGCAACAGATGTCTGGATCTGCGGACGTCTAATGCCTTCTCACTGGGCGCGTCATCTGTGCACTACCGCTCCAATAGCTCTTCGCCTTTCCTTGGTGTAGATTGCGTGGAAGCGGAGTGCTGCTTTGTTTAAAAGATATCGCACTGAGATAAGGCGGCCTGCACTCTGTACAAGGCTGCATTGGAAAAATGCCGTGTAGATTCCCGGCATCTGGCTGAATTGAAAACAGAAGTATCAGGCACGCTCGTGTTTCTCCCGGAGCTCGTTCTTTTTGAGCTGCCTGCCATCTCGCCAGCAGGGAGAGATTTTTGGGCGAGCTACTTGGGACTTGACTTCGCGTATGCTTCCAGAGCAAACGCTTGCGGCGCAGTATAATTTCTATGCTATGGCGTGATCAAATGAAGGGTGGTGTGTGCACTGCAAATGCGTTCGGCACCTTCTAGCCGGCTGTCGCCTGGCCGTACGCTCAAACCGCCGTCTGCTTGATTGAAGTGCGATTCCATTTTCGTTTAGTGGCTTCTGCGTACATTGTATTTACTCGAGCCACTTCCCTGGGATTTTCATATTTTGAGATTTACTCACAAGTGGCATGCTTTTAAAATCGCGATCCCCGCGTTGGAGCTATCACGACTGAGAAGACTCTGAATAACTAAGCATTTTTCGAATCTTTCTAGTGCAGTCTCTACTGGATGAAGTGTACTCTCATGGAATGCTGCCAGTTCAGAATAAAACGCGTATTCCGGCTGATGTTGCTGCATTCCTGGGACTTCTGGCTATACAAAAGACGCTCTGCAGGGAGCGAACATGTTCTAATTATATTCCGCCAAGGTCAATTCGACTTCACTTCGTGAAAAACCTGCCATAAAATCGCTGTTATACAGGAGAAGGAGGCAAAACATGCCCAATAGTTTGACTTTTCTAGAGCCTCGAGATGCTCTGCAAGCTCGCCTGCGGACGATGGCTTGTTTGAGCGAATGAATAAAATTGTTGGCCCACGGTTTTCTGTAATACTGCAGCATGGAAGAAAAGGATAACTTCGGTTCTATTTTGTTGGTTTCTGGGACCAAGGTAACGATTAATAGGGACAGCAGACTACCCCCTGGCAATACGGGAATTTCCGACGCCTTTAAATATTACACAGCCGAAGCACGAGCTTCCAATACTGGCCAAGTGGAGCAATGCAAAGGACCTGCGGCACCAATGCCAACTCACTATAAAGCGCCTGTTACAACGAAAACTACTGCCGAGCAAAGCTTCTGAGCACTGTGTTTTACCATCTGATCATTCAGGTCATTTGACCGCAATGTTGTAAATTCACCCGAGTCCATAATTCCTACGAAATGAGCCCCAGCAAGCCGAACGCCGGGCTAAGAATTAGCTTTCCCTCATTCCCATTGGGACTTCGGCTTGCCATCTTGAATTCATTGAAGGTCTCAATATATTCTATGTTCGCCACTGCGAAGCTCTCTTCGGGTATATTTCGTTTGTGCAACAGTCTCCCTCATCGCACACTTAATGGTCTAGATTGCAGAGCATGCTCACACTTCCAGTCTTAACAGATTGCGGAGTGCCCCTAGGCCATCAGAGCGCCCGTGATACGCATTCTTCATCTTTGTGACTAACTACCCTACGTGAAATGAATTCACTTCTGTCATCTAACTGGCACTGCGCATCAACACGACTCCCTCCTTTGTGTTCGCGTGCTTCCACTTTTCCAGTGGCATTTTCAGAGGTCTCTTCGCTTTTCTCTCGTCAATTCCTCATTCTTTTCCGTAAATATTAGAATAGCGGAATATGTGAGCCTCTTCAGGGGGGGAATGATAAAAGTTTCCACCTATACTGTACAAAATACTGAGTTGAATATACCCGCGACTTCCTTACTGAAGAGATATTTATTCTCCTGCTAAGCAGTGTTGTAGCATTTAAAGACCTTCCACGCAGGACTAGTAGCTTAGGGCCTTGCTAGCAACTCTCCAAGTTTAGATCCAGAGAGGAGAACACACTCGGCATAAGTCGAAGCCACTGATCACTACACCAATACGCTTGAATCACCGTCACAAGTGCTGGTTCGGCCACTTGTTCTTGCCCGCTCTTCGTAGGAGACTTTAAGGTTCTGGCATTCGCGCGAAATTTCATCAGAGTAGAGACTATCTTAATATACGCATATGCAGACTGATTTATCGGATATGTTTAAGAGCGAGGACGCAAAAACTTCCACGTGCACACATTGAAAGGCTGCTGCCATGCTGTGGTGTTATGGGCTTGTGTCCTTGCAGGCGAGCCTGGGAATAAAATGTAGTGCGGCCAGGCTGCTGTTTGTTCTGGCACTACTGGTCTCCGTGAACTTTGAAAGCGCGAGTTGTGCCCTCTCGCGCCACTGAATAAGCATGAACTTGTGGACTAAAGAAAGAGGGGGGTTCAAAATGTAAGAACTGCTTAGCAGTGAATATGGGGATTTGTTTGGGTTTCTTGTGCTGTCCCTTCGATCAAGCCACGGCCCAATCGAGATATGCACCTCGTTACGCGTGCATGTTAATATTATTCTTGTTTTTTTCCTGTGCCAAAAAATCTCCTAATTCCGCATATGGCAATATTTTATGCCAAAGAGCAATTTTGGACTAGCAGCTGGACGTAATCCAGAGCCTCAGCTTTGACAGTAGCCTTGTGACATCAAGCGGCGCGATTGGCGTTGGCAGTAGTTCTTGTGTGTTGCCGTTGCCTCTCTTGGCATTGTTTCCTGCTGTCAATTGTGGCAGATATGCTCACTGAGAAATACATTTCACTCATATCTTATAGCCTCTTTGGATTCAGAGGCGCCACTGGCTCACTTTCTGGTCGAGGGACGAGAGCACGCCACAGTCAAGCCAAAGGCACCAAGCATAGCCAGCTGTCCCCAGAGGCTGTGGATCTACTTTATCCCATCTTCTCTTCTGCCTTATTTCAGTAAATTAGATCAAACAAAGCATCCAGAAAGATGAAGCCCTCAAACAAAAGCCGGCGCAACGCGGGCGGGCTTCCCCCCACTGGCAGGCCCGCACACAGCATGTCCAACCCGGAGGGTCGGTCCAGCAGTAGCATGGCCCCTGTCCCACAGCTGGACTTGAGGCAGGCAGCGGAGGGAGCGCGTGCCGCGGAAGGTGGTCAGCTAGTCTACGGGCCTCTCCCCAGTGCCATGGATACCACCCGAAGCCAGCACTTCGCAAACTGCAGCGACTGCATGCTGCCTTGCAAGATCTTTTTGGGCCTTAGTGCACCCAAAGAGACCAAACCCCTCCCACCAATACGTTCCTCATCGAAGCAGTCGTGCCCTCCTCAGCGACACACTGGACCAGAGACTGGCGGTTCGTCCCGGTCAGGCCGCAGTGTGTCCATTGGTCACTCCATGGGTCGCACTGTCGCCAGTGTCCAGAGACAGGCAAGCCAGGCTAGGCCTGCGCTTATGGCTACACGCCCACCTGGAGCCTCTGCTAATGTAGGAGACAGCACCATTGCGCAGCCTTCGCAAGCTACTTACTTTAACCAGACCCGGCAGGGCATGAATTACCCGCTGGTAAGACCAGCAGCGTCATTATTTAGACCAGATGTTGGCCCTGTAATAACTCCACTGTGTGGGGGTCAAGTGGCCAACCCAATGGTCGCAGCAGTGCAGGCCACGAATGGGGTCACCGCCTCTGGCGCCTTCCCGCCCTACCCTACAACAGGCCCACGGCTGTCGTCATCGCATTCACCAGCTGCAGCAACGGCGGGGGCCGCGGCTTCTGCTCAATTTGCTGCGGCATATGCACAGTACACGGCGCAACGCAACGTAAGTGGCAGCACAGCTTGACTCCTTGGTCGCCAACGTTTGGCCGAAAGAGCCTCCTGTGTGGTTTGGCCCTAGCAGCAGATCTGGCCTCACTCTTGCCTAGCATCGCAGTGCTAGCAGCGCCGTTGTAACGTTCAACATTTTTGTAGTAGTTGTATGTAGACCGTGTTCTGTTCTGGAAGCCTATCTCTTGCAGGAACAGAGAGTCACAATTCTGCTTTTGCCGAGCAGCCACTTGTGTCATCTCTTCTCGTGTGCTGCAGCGTGGGGGGCAAATGGAGATTTTTATGGGCCCCAGTGGAGAGATGTAAGGATCCACTTTCCATTGCACATTTTCTAGAATCTGTGTTTGATTAGTCTCACCGCTCCACAACTCCATAGTCTCTGCTGCTTTTTTCCCGTGTGTTCGGCACTCGCCGCCGTATGCCCACTTTTTCTGTTCCCTCTAGTTTTTGTCTACTCGTCGCACCTCTACTTATAGTTGGTCGCTGCGAAGTCTTGGAGCCTCCTTATGGTCTCGGCCTTCACCATTAAGGGCTTTTGAATGCTTGCTCTGATTGGTGGTTTCAGTTACCAGAGGGCTCCAGCTGTTGGCAGCAACAGGGATACTGCGGCACCCATACTCATGCAGCCGGCAGGCCTGTGCAGGACCGCGTCAGCTGCTAGCGTTGACCGCTCACGCAGTCTGTCTAAGGCACCTATGCCAGTAGTTATAGTCCCCGGGCGCTCGCAGAGCGTGGCGCCACCTGTTCCGCCGGTGCAGACAGCAGCTCTAGTTGGTCGTGATGGTGTATTTGAGAAGACAGGAATGACTAATGCCACACGTGGGGCGTCGGAGAGAAAGAGTGGAGGAAGGTTAAATGAGGACCAGCCGCCTCTTGAGCTTGATGCTTCTCTAAGAGACGTCCTTGACGGGCAGATGCTTTCATCTCGATCCCGACGCTTGGCCATGGAACTTAAGGTGACAAACAACTAGTTTGCTTTTATTTATTTACGACAGACTATAGCGAAATTCGCGGCATAGTGTGCTCGCTACGAAGAAAGTCCTTCATGCACGGAATCGTGCAATGCTTGACTATTCAGGCCGCGCGAGAGCAATGCAAAACAATTCAGGAGGGCTTTAAAGAAGAAAATACCCAATTAAAAGAAGAGAATGAACGGTATGACCAAGGCACGCTGAGAAACGGAAAGTTCATGCTCCTCTTCACTGGCAATAACTGGTTGTGCGTATGGGCTTCCCCAGAAGTGGTGTGTGAAACGTGCTATTGCGGTTGTGAATCCTCTTGCACATTCAGACTCGTCTCTATAGTCAGGTCAATCCAGAAGAGGGTAGAAAGCCTGCAGAACCAGCTGGCTGCCTCCAGGAAGGTGCGTCTCACCAGCTTAACATGTATTCACCTGGCCTGGAAGAGTTACAGCTCCTTATGAGAGGGCGCCCTGCAAGGCAGAAGCACCTGCAGCTGTGCTGTGTGAGATTCCCTGTCACGCATTTTTTCTTGTACACTCCTTCCAATATGCTGTTTGCAGACGTCAGGTGGCGGAGAGGCTCTGGTAGACGTGTGCTCTGGGCTAATTACAGATATCCTGGACTCCCGTAAGAGACAAATGAGGATGTTAGGGGTTGCAAAACCAAACGAACAGCTCAAGCTGCGCCTCTCTGTAGCACAGAGTTTCTTCAAGTTGAAAACACGTTTTCTGTGTATTCAGGCTCTGGTTGGAGAGTGGTGAAAGACTCTTCATCTGTAGAAGGTGAACGTGGCAGCCGCATGGAGAAAGATATGGGTCCTTCAATGCCTCAGCTCATCGCAAAATCGGAGCAGCAGGGGATGGAATCGCAACACTCTCACCCTGCTGTGAACGATCGTGAGAGCCTCGGTAAGCCTTTAGAGGTGCAGTGTAGAAGCGATTGTACGACATACAATCGAATGCAGGTGCGACACAGCCACCAGAAGGCCGCCACACGACGACCCGCATTCTTCCGGCCTCGACAGATTACAAGACTGGAGGCCGCTTGACCTCAAAGAATCACATGTGCCAGAATAACAGAATGCACTAGTGAGAGGTAGAGAATTAAAAAAAGAGTACACACTTGCGACGACGTCTGTGATGCTGATTCAGGGAATGGTTCCGAGACTCTCGAAAATCGCTCAAAGATAGAAAAAACTTCATATGAAAATGCACAGCACAAGCTTGCAAGCAAAGATATATTATCTGACCCTCGTTCACTGTCTAAAAGCAATTCTGTGCTGGGGGAACCTGCGTCAGCGACACAGTTTGCTACAACGGCGGGACCCCATACAGAAGCGCCAGAAGTTGGCCGAGACGCAGGCCAACCCGGATATAAGAAACAGTCTGCAGAATCCCAGAACAAGACTCGAACAGAGAACGACAAAGCAAGCATCAACACGGCAACCACAGGACAGGACGAACCGACCAACATAACAGTGTTTCGCGAACCCGAACGAAAGGGCGAACACGAAGCACAACAGGCAGGTACCACAAATGCGGGTAGACAGGAAACTCAGAAAGAAGCACGAGACACCAATGAGAAGATAGCTCATATCAGATACGCGGAAGCTGCACCAGCTGCGGAATCCGGCACGGCACCTGCACCAGCGGTGCTTGATGAAACGTCGACGGAATTATTGCCGAGGGCGGGAGCGGAGCCTGGCGCGAAGGCGGCGGCGGAAGCGGGTTTGAAGCCAGGGGAGGGCGAGTCAGCGGCGAAGGCAGCAGAAGGCGCCGATGCGAAGAGCGTGTCTGGCGTCGATGCGAAGGGTGGACCTGTTGCGTCGTCGAAGGCGGGTCCTGGGCCTGCGTTGCTTGCGAAGAAGTCGATGGGAGTGTTGCCAAAGAAGGCAGCGGAGCCTGTTGCGAAGGCGGCGGTGGAAGCGGGT